AAAAAAAAAAAAAAAAAAAAAAAAAGGCGTATCCGTAATATGTAATAGTACTTTTCTACAATATTATCTACGTATCTACAAATGCGTTAATAGAGCAACTGAATGGAATTTGGGATTCTGAACATTGTCACTTAGAAGACACGTTTGCAATGCGCTAACAGGCATAACAAACAGCCAATAACGCTAGATCGAGAATCTCTGTCAGTCGAAACCAAGAAATTTAGAAGAACATTTTGCCTATTAATCTTGCATCTCCAGCCTTCACCAGCCTACCTCCCCACCTACCGGCTTGGTTACCGGCTGCACCAGTCCATTGAGCCGCATTTGGCTGCGATGGTGTCGGTGCACCCGTCCACATATTAGATGAATCTGCGGTCTCGTCATCTTCACCCCAAGTGCCGCCAATATTCGTCGCAGGCGTATGACCCCACGGAGTTTTCGCCTGCTGTTGAGGCGGCGGCTGTCCCCCATTGCGCAGATTAGCCTCCCACAGATCGGTGCCATTGTTCACCGGTGGCTTCCAGATGGGCACACCATCTTTAGTTATAGACGGCTCAGGAGATGTTGGTACGTCCCAATTTGTATCTTGGTTCACGTGTTGCTGTCGATAATTATGTTACACGGCGGAAGTTACATCGAATGAACAACCTTGTGATTCTATGTATAATAGTATATATTTTACTTACACAACCCCAGCCGTCTTGACTGAAAAGAGCTTCTCTCATTGTGTTGAGTTGTTCGAGTTGTTGCTTCGTAGATGGATTGTTGCTTGCCGAAGTGCTTCCGATACTCACAGCCCCTTGGGTAGGATTATTCGACTGATTATTACTTGCACTTGAACCCGAGGATTGCTGCTGCTGAACACTACTGTTGTTGTTGTTTTGCACTGACGGATTTTGCCCGAGACCACCTGGATTAGACTTTCCCTGAGGCCATTGGTTATTATTCTGATTTCCTTGGGTAGGATTATTTGATTGAGACGTTGGCGGACCAGATTGTTGATTGGATTGCTGATTGGGATTGTTCACTTTGCCCACATTTCCTAATTTATCGAAGCAAAAATATGAAATTGAAATGAAGAACACAAGGAAGCATAACAAGCGTCGAGCTGTATCTTTTAGATATAGCCTGCCACGATCTTGAGACTTTGTTAAAAAAGATTACAAATATATTACATATAGTACTACTTACCCGGGGCATTTTGGTTACCAGGTGGTCCTTGATTTTGATTTTGATTCGGATTTCCCGTGACGGATCGATTGACGGTATTGCCGCCCCAATTATTGGGCGCACTAGTGCTACCAGATGGATTTCCTGGTGTACTACCCCACCCACTCTGACTTGTGTTGTTGTTATTTGGAGTGGTGGCTTGCGTCGATCCCCAATTAGCAGCTCCTCCGGTATTCAAAGAACTCTCTCCACCTCCTGCCAAGTGCAATATCAGTGGTATACCCCAACGTTGTTTGTAACTCGCAATAGGCTCGTAGACGTTGCGGTGTAAGTAAGACAACTTGCGGAACAGGACGTCCAGAGTGGATCTCAGTTGGCGTCGTTGAACCTCACATTTGCTCCCATTATTCTCGTACGTTGCTTGACAAGCGGAAACTAAGGTGCACGTACGCATTATAAGGGATGACCATTGCAACGCAGACGGTGCAATGGAATCTTCGTTGCTGTTGCTTGTGATGGCGTTATCATCATTGTCGTTCTTACGACCTCGGTCGTGTCTAAGAGCTTCTTGGTCATATTTGCAGATCAACTGAGCTGAGTCATCTTTCGATGTTGCTTTGAGCTTGTCGATAGCATAATTTTGCACGTCTTTAAATTTAGCGTCATAATGACATAAGTCATTCTTAAGATCATCTGTGTGACTTAGCAACATATACTGGATACATATTTGGTCATTTTGGAGTATATTGAAATATTCCAATCGCATTTCCTTGTCGTTCGTGCGACTCTCCGCTCGAGATACAGGTACAACAATTGTTTTGGATGCGACGGTGGCTGATTGGCATGTAAGCGTCATCGTAGGCTTGCAGGTAGTCATTATAGGAATGTTGACAGTCAACTTAACTTGCTTTCTGTTGTCAGATTCGTCAAGTCGAGCGGTATGAGATGTTTCAAACTTAACGTTACACTTATCGCTTAGCGTAGACTTAGATACAGACTTAATGGTAGAGTTAGATTCGCGATCGGCAGTAACCGATCTCCTATACCTACTAATCTTAAAACAAGTGTTTAGAAGCTTATTATACTTATTGTTATCCTGAAATAAAAGAGCACCAACAGTAAACATTGTTGCTTCGGTACAACTAATACCATCATTTTGAGACCCTAAGATTCTAACATTAGTAGTAATTACACTAGTCTTGTAGCACACAGCGATGTCAACAATGTATCCGATAACATCTTGGTTATTATTACTAATATTAATTTCTTCTTCAATACTACCAACGTTAATGTTCTCGTTATTATAGTATTCATTATTATTACCAACGTTGTAATCATTACTTTTACATATTATTAATAGTGGAACACATATGTGTTGCATCAGCTCGGTCACAGTGACATTACATAATGGAGAAATACAAGATTGTACATAGAGTAGCGTGAGACTTTTCAGGAAAGATCGCAAAGTGTGGTCAATTACTTCGTTTATGGAAACGATAAGCGTAATGGAAGAACTGGCGGCGTACATCGCGAAATTCTGAGCATAGACAGACACCGATACTAGAGTGTTGCCATCGAAATGCGATTCCAGAAGGTGTCGTACTATTCGGCGGCTCAGAGAAACTCGGATGTCAGAGTTATCATCCAGAATTCTATCGTTTGCAAGCAGTCTGGAGGTCTGAGCAAAACTGGTAACTAGGGCGTACTTATCACCTAGTAGTTTCATTCTATTCGATGTGGTGGAATCGTCCCTTTTAATACAAAGTACCGGGATAACAGCAGCTATCTTGTCAAAGCCACCACTAAAGAGGAGGTAATGGTTACTGTAACTGGTTGAGCTGAGCAATATCACAGACTTGGAGTTGTTATTATTTACGTAACTAAAATTAGCCTTAAATTTATTGTTGTCGCCCAGGTCAAGGCAGGACCCTAGTAAGGAGTAATTGTCGACAGAGTTAGGGAGGCGTAACAACCGTTGGGGACTATCAGACTTGGGTATCCTAACTAGGCTAGGTACCCCAACGATGCGACACTTTTCGTCCCTTTCAGCGCGCAGATATTCACTTAAATACCTTAGTACCCTAAAGTTTAGATGGCTAAAGCTAGTCTTATTATCACTTAACGTCTTACAAGTAGACTTAGAGTTATTGGCGGAGCTGCCCAGCTGACCAAGCAAGCCCGGTGTATTTTGCTTTCTGTACTTGTGATGATTATGTTCTGCATTGTTGTGATTATTTATTTTATTATTATTATCGCAGATTAGAAAGTGATTTGTTGGGTATTTTGTGGTTGCTGGCGCCACTGACTGGCAGGCCTTACCTATGCCGGTTGAGTCCAACTCACCTGCAAATCAGATTTACCGAGTTCTAAACGTCGTGTCATCGAAACTTCCTACATATTTATTGAATATCTTTCGATAAACCATTTCAATTCTCCTTATTAGTTTCTTCTTAAAAATGCTATTTTTAATAATTAAATATCACATAATGCAGGACGTTTTTTTTTATAATTTGAAAAAACAATATTTTTATAAAAAGCTCAATCACGAACATGTCCATGCATTTAGATTTTCTCAATGGATATATATCAAAGCTGAGCTTACAATATTATTCAGCTTTACAATAGCTTCTAAAAAAATGGCGAATTAAAGTATACTTCTTGTATCATTGACTTCTCGCATTGGTATTTGATGAACTTGTTAGATATATATATCTAAGTTTAAACTCGAAAAAAAGTATATGTTACAATTCAATCCACACATACTTTACATACAGAAATTTTTGAAGGTTTCATTATTACAAAATACTGAGATTAGGTCAAATCTGTGATCAACATGCACGTTTGATTCGCAATGCATAACATCTGGAAGATTATTACAACGCAAGAAATCTGTATTCCAAATATAATAAGATAGAAATATAGGAAACACATCAGATGGAAAGTATATATAAAATATTAATGTTTCTGCCTATAAATATCGTTGATATATTTAAACCTTCTACTCACCAGCTTGGTTCGGCAGGACGGTTGAAAAGTCATTGGCGGCGGTAGCTTCGGGATGGCTAATAGGTGCTGCCATCGTGCTGCTGTTTATGGATTCGATATCACAGTACCAAGTGTGCTCTAATCCTTCCCCTTCCCCCACCCCATCCAGACTGCTTTCCTTTAATACTACTACATCCCACTGTAACACAAAAAAAGAAACAATAAGTTTAAATAGCAGTTTGTTTTCATATAAAACACTTATATTACTAAAGTATACCGATAAATAAATGCAGATAACAATACAACAATGTTGCGTAAAGATAAAATTTACAAATACACGTGTAAAATATATGAATAACAGATTACATAGTTAATTGTAGACTGTGTGATAAACATGTATATATTTTCAGATTGTTATAGAACTATATTATCGTCGTGAAATTGCGACACTATCTTTATTAAGTTTATTCTTTAATTAAAATTTAAGCAATATTTGCATTTCATTATAATAATGTACATGTTGACATTAAGAATTTGAAATTGTACAATATGAATAATTCATTATGAATTCATACAAATAATCCATTCAGAACTTTGTAGAATCCACATAAATATTGACGTGACATAAATGGTATAGTATATAAAAAAAACAACTATTTGCCTTAAATACCTATAATTTATGTGTCAATGCTTACCACGGAATTTTGTACGAAGGCATTTGTTTCTGTAGAAATCTCATGTGAACTAGAATTGTGTGGAAACATTGGGCTCAGTTCTTCTTTGGCAGGCAATGCATAGAAACCAAGATCTATGTGCAAAATATATATATATGATTAATAACATATTGCAATATCTACAGAAGTCTATATACATATATTATTGTACACTTAAATCACTTCTATAATCACTTCTTTAATCACTTCTATATTTTTAAAATTTCTCGTTTATAACTTGAGCAAAATCAAGCTTAGTAGAACTGAGTAGCTAATTAACAGTGATCGTAATCACCAATAAAAAGCTGTTAAAAAAATTAAGATGTAACCAACAACTTTCCATAATTATGTAATTACAGAAAGAAATTATAAAAAGTTGGTACATGAAAAAAAGGACTAAAAAAGATTTTTAATAGCACAATGATAGCTGCAAGAACTACCTTAAAAAAGATAAGATCAAGAGAACAAGAGCATTTTAATTAAAAATCTTATGAAGATATAAGTCTTATTTGCAAAATTAGTTAAAATGATGAAATAAATTACGAATACCTCGTAAACTATCGCTATCAGTACGCTCCTAGCTCCATGCCAGTGGAGATCTAAAAAAAATATGAACTCTATATATATATATATATATATATATATATCATATAATTCTGCAATCACAATATTCATAATAAAAAAAAGTATTACACTTAAATTGCTATAAATTTTAATAGTATGTATTGTTCAACAATTTTCAAAACAAATTTCTTATAATAAGAAATTTGGAAAAATTATCCCTGTTCAATAAATTTTAAAATTACACAGACAATAGAATTTTATTATCTATTCACAATATTGAGATATAATTCATTAAAACATATTAATCTCAACGTTTTATATCGAAAAGATTTTTATTTAGCATTAACTACGGATTTGTCAAAAGATTGTAAAATTTTATCATTAAAAGAGATAATTAATATAAACACTAAAATTATAAAATTAATGTTTTTTAATATTTAGAGGAATTAAAAAGTATTGACTTTGTAATAAAGGCACAAAATATAGCGATCTCGTAATTGTCGTTCCGTTAACGATTATAAAACCGGCACAATTTACGATCCACTTGAAAACAGTGGTCTTTACGAGCGCGACTCGTTGTTCCTATCGATCGCAGCACCTCGAAGAAGCGAGACGAGAAAGAGGAGTGCGAAAGATCCGCCGTTCAAGGTTAAATCTAAACACTTCTCCATAGCAGTGGCCAGACGCGGAGAGCCCGTGATGTTTTCGCACTTCGCGTAGCACTTGTAGTAAGACGCTAACCTAATACGTAGACGTAATTACCGCACGCACGGCCCTGCTTATCCGACGGTGTTGCCCGAAATACCGCTCGCTCAACATTCCGCTTTCCTACGGGGCTCGCGCGAGAGATCCGCACTTGGCTCGTCGACGACGACGGCGACAACGACGACAAACACGGCAACGGGGAGAAATACCGCACGACGCACGTACGTTCGACAACGCGACATTATTTACCAGCCGTTATTAAATGCCACCTCGCGCGAGGCGATCCGCTCTGGCCGTTCTGACAGCACGGCAGCAAACGTCATGCGAGCAGCGCGCGACGCACTTCGCCAACAGCGAGGGGTCGCAAGGTACGCAGCGCGAGTAGTACATAGTGGAGAAAGACAGACAGCACGGAGGAACAGAGAGAAAGAAAGAGAGAGAGAGAGAAGGAAAGAGAAAGAAAGAGAGAGAGAAAGCGCATGGAAAACGAAAAGAAGAGAGAAGTGAGAGAGACAACGTATCCACCGAAAAAAACGTACCTCGAACCGAGCGTCACACGCGCACACATACATCGGGTCACTCGGGGCGATTGAGAGGCAGTCGATGTCGGATCCTGCGTACTCTCCCCTGCCCTCCCCCTCCCCAACACGAAACACATTCGCGAGCAAGCGTCGGCAGCATCGGCGTAGCCGCGTAAATTCCACGAGAAAGTTAAACGTTGGCGAGAACGAACAGCAGCAGCAGCGGCGGCGGCAGCGGCGGCGGCGGCGGCGGCGCGCAGGGACGAAGGCAAAAGGGAGAAGAAAGGGTCACCGGGAAGTTCCGCCGCGCAGGCGACTTATTAATCGTCGTGGCCTCTCTTGAGGCGCACCACTTCGAAATCGACTCGGTGACGATGAGAGGCGGACTTACACTCACCTCCCGGGCTCGCGAAGAACGGATCAGTCTGCGCCGAGGCTATTTCGCTAGAACGGAATAGCGGAGCGTAGTCGCGCTCGCTTAGCTAGCGAACGCGGCCGTTCCCGCGAGCGGCCATCCTCCCCTCGTCGTCGTAGTCGTCGCGCCGTGTGTGTGTATGCGTGTGCACGAGCGCCGCGCGCGCGATCGGAGCGATCAACGCGCGGGCGGGGCGACGTTCACAACGGTGTGCGCGCGTCCGCTCCGCCGCGCGCCGCGCCGCGTTCGTATGCACGCGTCCCCCGCTCTACCCCGCGCCCCCTTGTTCCCCGCAGCTCTAAGCCGCGCGATGTCGGAGAAACGAACTTTCCGTAAAATCGCGACGTCAGTTCCGGCATGCGGGACTCGAATTCTGAATAGAATACGGGCGCGCACATAGCGAATCTGTACCATTTTGGAAACTTTGGCAAACTTTGGAAAGAGAGAGAGAGAAAGAGAAGACGATTGAATAAAATAGCGAGCGTTGCGTTTTTACTCCAGAGATGTAGCGCGAATATCAACGACCGCCTGGAAATCCCCAGGTAATTCCTTGGAAAGAGTATCGATACTCCCGCGCATTTTCGGGTTTCTCAAGGATACCAGTTCGTTCGACATGTCGACGTAATGTCGATGATATCCGAATAATTTGGGAGTGACGCATCGGTGATCACAGTAAAAGAAAAAAAAAGATATTTATATCTCGACATTACCGTACGTGTCGGAGTATAGCCAATGCGTCTCTGATTGGGAGATGTGACGTTACGTAAATTATTCTTTCGTTGCATATCCGGAGCTCTCTCGTCGGAACTATCCTCGAAATTAAAGTCCGCAGTCTCCGCTTCATCTCCCGCCAGTACCGATCTTAATCTCTCGCCCTCTCTCTCTTTCTCTCTCACTCTGTTTCCTCTCTTCCCCTCTGCTCGTTCACCTTCTCTCCTTCGCTTGCTATCGTTCTTCTCCCCTCTCCTTCGCGTCTCTATCCAGCTATCTCTTTCTCTCTCCCTCCCTTTCTGTCTCTCTCATCATGTTCCCTCTCCCTCCACCTCTTTCCCCCTCTCCTCTCGTTCTATGCCCCTGTCCGCTCCCTCTCTCTTTCTCTCTCGTCAATAAGAGAATTCTCACCGTATATCGCGCGCGAATAATCCGTTATGACGACAGACGCCATAAAAATCTCGCACGAGGTCGCGCGTTTCATTCAAATTTAGCATTACTGTCACCTGTAATTCCGCGTCCGCTCTCGCCCGGCATTATTTCCGTACAACTTCGCCGACTCGAGCGCAAAGCTATCCGAGAATAATCTCCAACGTGTTATCGCTGTGGTGCAACCAGCACAGACGAATTCTTCCTCCACGAACGGCGGAGCCGAGATACGCGACATGTACAACCGACTCGTCGCATAAACTTGAAATAAAAAATGTCTGTCCGTCATGATACAAAATACACGTAATCTCTATGTATAAGATCGCCATTAGAGACATTGCATCTTCTATTTACGCAATACTCGACTCGATTTATCTAATTTATCTTTGAAACGATTGTGTGTACGGATCTTCAAAATGTTCAAACATTGCGCGCGTATAACTGCCCAGGGTCCAGTTTTTTTATGTAATATATATAACACGTTAGTGTTGTTATTATTATTAGAATATTGTGTGGAGTTAGAAAGGATCTTGATTTCTGCTGTTGTTTATGCATTCACCGTACCACCAAAGGGACTTTCACCCCGTTGATAAAGTAGAAAGAGAAAGGGAGGGAGGGGGAAAGAATTATAATTAAAATTAGAACAAATACACCATCTTAAATACGTCGATCGTATTAGACACTCGGCAACGAAGTGGTCTTAGGTTGTTAAGACCTTTTTAACCACAGGCATGCGCTTTTGCTAGACCACAAACAACCGTTGGTCGACATACCAGGAGAGGTGCATCGTGAGTTGTCGAAATTCAGGAGTGGGGACCAGCGGTAGCTTGTTGTGTCTCAACATCCTCACGTGCATTACATCAATCGTATGCGTACGTTATTAGAAAGAAAAGGAGTAAAGCCGCCAGCTAAACAAGCCACCTCCAACAAGATCCACAGGCATACATTGCGAGTGGAGTACGAATAATAAAAGCGCGCTACATGTTTGTCGCTGGTGTTCCGCTGGCGCTGGTCTATTATCTAATCTGTGTCCATGCCCGAATGATGAGGCGTACCGTTCGCGTATTTTCGCCGTAGTTAAAGGGCGTTTGGGAGCATTCGGGAGCGTTTAAAAGGCGCCGTGTGCGGGCGGAATCGCACAGCCCGGCGACATATTCTCCCGACTGTTAGTTGCACCCGAGCATTACAGCTGCACCGGCTTATATCGATTAAAAATGGCGGATCGGTCGGGACCGCGGCATTCTCGAGTATATATCTCTAGCGCATCGGAACGCGAAACGCCGCTATTCGACGCGACTGTGCTGCGCGCGCGCGCGCGTTCACTCGCTCGCCCGCTCGCTCGCTCGCTCATTCGCTCGTCTCCGCTTTCCGTTCGTTGGTCGCGCGAGCAAAGAGCACATCTCTCTCTCTCTCTCTCTCTCTCTCTCTCTCTCTCTCTCTCTCTCT